TACAGGTGAGAGAGCAGGGAGGAGAGGATAAATTAGGGAAGAACTGCTGCTGTTTACATGACTGCCTGTCTGCCTTGGAGATCTAAATATTTAGGGATTAAACAGCAAGTATAAAGTTAGTCCCTTTTTTCTGTTGTCAATGGGAAAGAAGTTTTGTCAACTGATATGAATGGCAATAAGGAATCTATAGCGCTGAGCCCACAGATGAGCATAATTAACACGACAGGAGCTTCTTAAATTGTTTTGAGGTAAAATGAAGTGGCCATCTGGACACTTTTTTCTTTTTTATATTTTTAGGGGAAAAAAATGCCTATTCATTCTCATAGTGCTCCTTACTTCCGCCTCCAGATATTTTCATTAAACATAGGTGAGGAAAATTTATTTTGGTATCTGTATATTGGTCCTAGAGCAATTATTATTAGCAGTTAATTGGGATTTATTCTTGTCATTTTTCTGAAATATTATCTTAGCGCAAAAGAGTTTTGAAAATAAATTACAATGGCAGTTTCATATGTGTAAAAAAAGGAACTGCATGTATTTTTCTTAGCCTTTCTACAGCTTTTCAAAAATTGTTTCTTAGATTATTCCTTTTCACTCTCTAGGGCAGGGATTGGCAAACTATGCCCAGGCCAAGTCAATCCTGTATCTTATATTTGTTTTGTATGGCCCCTGAGCTAAGGACGGTCTGTATTAAAAAACATTTGATAGTCTGTTTTGATAAAATAAAAATCTTTCAACCAACCTTAAAGAATTCCGTATTTTTAAATTTCCCAAAGAGTAAGAGCTATGAATTCCTTGTGTAATTTTGAAATCTCAACTTTACATTTTTGCTCTTTGATTACAGTAATATTTGAAAAATTTTTTACTATCCATTTGGGATTTCCTCTTTTTGACTATATTAACCTCTTTTTGTTAATCCCTGTTTAGAAATTATTACTTGGGATAATAGTTTGGATGAACAACTAAGTAGTTAAATTCATAACTTCTTTTTCTCTTGGAACCTTGAATTATTTTGCTGCTGTAAAAATCCATTATCCTTTCTATTTTGTAGAATGTTTCCCACTATTGTGCCGTTATCAGGAAAAAATGTCAGTGCCCTGTTATAGGTGTCCAGTATTATATTGAGAGCTAAATTATGATATATGCAGAGTCCAATTTTTGACTGTCAGCATAAGTCAACCTGTTGAACACTATGGTTTATTTTCTGAGGTATTATAGTCCTTAATGAAGTATATGGCATTTATTGATTCACAAATTCACTTTAAAGTCATAATGAACTACTAAATGGAGTGTCTTATGTATCATTTAATATTTTTTCTTACTTGAATTTCTTAGGTACAATGTTAGCTGTTCTAAAAAATTTGCACTTAGTCGTTGGAATCGTAAGCCTGATAATCAAAGTCTTGGGCATCGTGGCCGCCGTCCAAGTGGCCCTGATGGGGCAGCAAGAGAACATATCCTTAGGCAGGTCTGTAGAAACCTTGCTTCAATGTACAATACCCTTTTCAGAAATGCAAGGAAAGTGCAATGCTGTATTTTACTTGTACTACATTTTCCAGCTTCCAATTACTTATCCATCTGCAGAAGAAGACTTGGCTTCTCATGAAGATTCTGTGCCGTCTGCTATGACAACACGTCTGCGCAGGCAGAGTGAGCGGGAAAGAGAGCGTGAGCTCCGGGATGTGAGAATTAGGAAAATGCCCGAGAACAGTGACTTGCTACCAGTTGCACAAACAGAGCCCTCTATCTGGACAGTTGATGACGTCTGGGCCTTCATCCATTCTTTGCCTGGTATGTAGTCCAGCACTTTGGCCTTAATATTTTTCTTGTGCATTCACACACAGGAATGATTTTAGATCCATCCACACCTGCCGCACAAAAGGTCTAGAGAAGTACTTATGTATATGTATTAAATTAAATGGCATTTGCTATTGAAATGTGATCTCTTTCCTCTTGCTTATTCCCTCAGCACAACTGGGTATTTTTTCATACCCCCCAAGTCGATAAAAACTGACTAGTCCTGCTTCTGCTGTGACACCTCAGCCGGTGAAGATATTAAAGGTGCTCTCTTCTCTTCAGTCTGATTTCTCTCGAGAGGTCAGTAGAGAGATTGAGTCAGACACTTCTTCCCTTCTGCTCTTCTATTTTTCTATTCTGTTTCCTCATTTCCTAATTTAACCTTTTAAAAAAGAAATAAGAGAGACTATAATTTTTTACATTTTTGAAAACTAATCAAGACCTTTTAGAATATGATAAATTTTGGGTTTCTTTTTGAAAAACTCAGGCTGCTTCTTTGAAAAGAAGCTGCATTCTTTGACTCTTTGCAATAAGTAGACATCAAGAATACTTCTGAAATTTGCTTTTTTAAAGTAGACAACTAACATTCAGTTATGATATTCTTTTCCAATATTGAGGGTAACTTTCTTATTTATGTTTTCTGCTCTCTCATTTTGGTATTCTTCCCATCAGCTTAGTCTTTATGTTCATTATCTTTTTTCTTTAATGCAACAATAAGCTTTTATATCCACTTTCTCCAAGGGGTTGGCTATGAAAGACAGCTGTACCTTTTGCTCATGATGAGACTCACACTGGTTATATATGTTAAAATAATATATTTTTTTAAATCAGCAAATCTTATTCACTTTGGCCTTATGAATATGGAAAACAAGATTTGAAAATGTTCCATTTTGGTTTTATTGTAAATCATACCATTTCTCTTGAAACAAGCTTTCCAGAAAAATAATCCCCTTTGAACTTGTCTACAGACTTATTAAAATTAATCCAGCTATTGTTGCTAATTAATCTTTCTGTGAAGGTGACCACTATCTCAGAATCAAACTTGCAGCTAATGAGCTGTGTGAGCGAATAAAGTATATTCCGAAGTATTACTGCTTTAAAAAAAAATCTGTCAGCCGTTTCACTTTACATACAGAATTCTATGAGATTTTATTAAATTTGTTTTTCAATAGCTTGTTTTAGAAATGCTAAATAAGTTTGTTTTTTTAGAAAAACAAGATATGGTCACTTTCAAAGAAAGAAGAAATTATTTAAAGAGGGATACATTTTTCATGGGAAGATTTTTAAGCACGTACCTAAAAAAACTTAGGTGTGAGTTAAGTGCTGACCATATGGGTTTAGAATCTGCTTTAAAACTGATGTATTAGAGGATGGCGAGTCTTTACTATGTTTGTGGCTTTAATATTTAATGAAATAAATTTTAGATTTTAGACCAATATAGATGTCTTCAGAATTAACCCTGGAATCTATACTGATCCCCTGAACTAGACTTTGATTCTATCATCTTTAGTAGTCTTAGTCTTGCAAGTGAACATGAGCTCTTTGTCAGCCAGATTTCTCATTTGGGGGAAAATATTTCTTTTACTTTGGGGAGGAGGGTTGGTTCATACCTTGAGGAAAGTGGTGAAATAATTAACAAGTAATAGATAGTGCTGAGTCTTCTGTCACTTCATATGATTTTTTTTACGGCTAATTTTCTAATTTTCCCAAGCTACCATTTGCTATGAGGCTACTCATGGCTGGCTACTTTTAATAGAATAAAGACTAGCTAGCTCCTTTGTCTTGTTCTTGCTTTGAGTTAAAAAAAAAACCATTATTGCTTATAACTTGAAATGCTTGTCTTCTTGAGTTCATCAGGACAATTATGTTGCCAGTTGTTTAGAGAACATTACATGTCATTAAAAGGAGACTGCTTTATAATTAAGAATTGCTTAGGACTATTTGCTTAATATAACTCTGCTTTTCTTTGATTAAACGGGAGTATTTCCAAACTGCTTTGATAGGCTAAATAATAAGCTTATTTGTGTGATCATTATTTATCTTCTTAAAGTTTTTTCGGAATAATTCCTGTAGCTTAAGGTAAATCTCCTATCAGAATATGCCTTTATCTTCATTTCTCTATGTTCCTCTGGCCTTTTGAGCCTCTCAGCTCATTCGGGGCTTTTTTATCCCGCAAGTAGTCTTACTGCCACGTTTTTTTTTTTCAGAGAACGAACAAGTTTGTAAATTTTATAATCTCTTGTATTTTGTTTCTTTCCAGTTGAGGATAGGCTTCACTCTTTCATCAGGGCACCTATTACTCCTAGAATTTTCTCCTCTCTTTGTGTAATGCCATCTTGTGAATTATCCTGGTGAGGCCATAATAGAGCTAGTATGCAGTACACCCCAATCTCAGAGCTGTTACCAGAGTGCAAAATTATTTTCTTCTAAACTTTCGTGCATTAAAAAGTTCTCTATAAAAACGATTCTTTTTATTTTCAGTTAATCGCAGTTTTCTTCTTTAACTCTTCCTTGATAGTGTACTGCCTTTTGCAAAGATCAGTTTATTCTGTATTTATTGATCTGTGAATCTGCAGATTTGGTTTCTCTGTAGGCTTATAAAATAGTAATCATCTAGAAACATGACTCTTTACTAATTTTCATACTAGTAGTGGGACTTGATTATTCTGTAGTATTGAGTGGCAGGTGATATCTTTTCACCAACCTTACTGAGGTCATTTTTTGTGTGAGGTGGGCTTGTTTGGGGTTTAGCTGGAAAAGTGACTGGATGCTTTCCAAATTCAGCTGGGACCCATGTTCATGCGCAGAGGTCCATGCCCGTCCTGATGGCTGCTTCTGGTGATGTAAAGCCAGCTAAGCTGACTGGTTGCTGCAGTTGAGATGTATGTTTTGTACATATCCCTAGGATGCCAGAAACCATGGAACTTTAGCACAGTATATCTTGAATGGCTAAATTTTTATAAAATTCTATTTTCCCTAATGATTTTCTGGGGCTGTATTTGCTTTTTCTTTTTTAAGTTACTTTATTTTTTCATTTCTATACTAACATATAGTATAACCACCTTTTTTTTGTGGTTGGCTTAAGCAAGTTGTGATCTAAAATTTTGAAGCTAATGCATTCATTTTGATCATGCTGCTTCCCCACTTTTCATTCTTTATTATTTTGCTAAATTTACTGCCCACCTACAAGAAAACATTTGAAGAGGGATCTCATAATGCAGAGGAAAAGGAAGAACATGCTATATATTTTCCTCATGGAGAACTCCTTGTTTCTATTCCCAAATGTAGCTCTTATGGTCCTCATTACTTCTCATTGCTCCTATTTTTTGAATCTAAGTAAGCCCTACCCTATCTTTCTCTCTCTTCTTTTCTTTCCTGTGTTCTTGTGAGTACGACTGAAGAGAGAAGAACATTAGTTCTTTCATATAAAGTGGATGAACTCACAACTAGATGCAAGATTAGTCAGTTTTGTCTGCCCAGTTTTGAGAGCTACCTCTGGGAAAAGAAAAGGGGCTTTTTCTATGGTGAGTAATCACATTTTAACTATATAGTTTCTTTTTATGGTAAATGGATAAAACCATAACAATTTTGCATAGGGTATTTTTGAAATGTCAGTTTTTAAAAGTCTGATAAATTATTAAAATAGAGAAATTGATAAGCTGGCTGCTATATAGAAAACAGGAAATATACAGCCAACGGAGAAGATGGCAAATAACCAAAAGATGGAAACACAGCTGAATACAGAAAAAAGTTTATATTACTCTTACAGATAATTTCTCTCTAGCAGATTTTATTTTTTGTTCCTTGTTTATTCACTCATTGTCCTTCACTTATCCAAAAAATATACATATCTAGCACCTACAATGCCTTGTGCTTGGTGCTGGGGTTATAGGTATAACATTATCTTATGTAAAACAAGAGAGTAATACATTTGCAGTAGAAAGATGATCATTCCAGCAAAGTTGTGGTATCCAAATGTTTAATGTAACCATTTCCATTTTTTATTATGTTTTTGTATTTTCCCTTGGAATGTCGATTTGAATAGACTTTAAGCTATACTTATTCTTAAATTCATTTTTATAATTTTACTGTCTAAGCAAGTTTCTACATTTTCGCATTCTCTCCTCTCTTGGTTCCTTAATTTATTAGCTTCCTGCTGGTTTATTTATCCTTAGTGGGAATTTTATTCAGTAACCTGGTTGTACAAAATTTGGTAGATTATAAAAACATTTGAGGTTCAGCTGCATGCTAGCATTATTTTTGTTACCAGCTAAAGTACCTGGCTTTATACTGAGAGCTGAAATATTGGTTATTTGGCAAGATTAGCCAGCAAGCTTATAATTTCAGTGAGAATTTATATTTTCTTATTGAAAGTGGAGATGAGTCCAGTGATATTAAGATTCGAAGTTAAAATTACAAGTCAAGCAGTATATTTCAGCAGCATTGCAATAGAGTGATACTATAATTTTGATAGATTGGTTCGGTCCTGAGTGAACAATAAAAATGTTTTAGATATGCTTGGCAATCAAAGGTTGTAAATTAGAATAAGGTACAAATGAAAATGAAAATGATACTCTGGTACATAACAAAATATTTCTAAATTGTTATTTAAATGGTAGAATGTTATGTTTTATTCTCTGTTCCTACATGTGAAGGATATATTATAGAATGATAAGTTCATGAGGTATAATAGTTAATCCAAACTTGTTATATATGTGACATTCTTCGAGGTAACACCATCATCCTTTTGTGAAGGTATGGTATTTCTAGATTGATTAATCTGTACATTTTACCTTTCTCTTACTAATTATTTCTTTAATATTATTTTTAGAACAAGAATTCCAAGTAAATTGCTTTACCTGGATTTTGTATTTGTTCTTATTTTCAGAATGCCAAAATATATTCTCTTCTTTAGGAGTGAACTCAAGACTACCATAAATAAATTTCATTTGTTTCTCAGGCCTGTATTTCAGATACTCAGACCCAGTGAGAGCATAACTTTGACTGTTAGGAATAACATCTAATTGTTGTATATAATTCTAACTTCCTCTGGTCATGCTGCAGGCTGCCAGGATATCGCAGATGAGTTCAGAGCACAAGAGATTGATGGACAAGCCCTTCTCTTGCTAAAAGAAGACCATCTTATGAGTACAATGAATATCAAGCTAGGCCCGGCCCTAAAGATCTGTGCACGCATCAACTCTTTGAAGGAATCTTAACAGGATCATGAGGCTTTGAGATAACAGCAGTGTAACTCTTCTTAAACAAACTTGTAAGGTAAAGGCTCAGGTTGGCCTACAATATTATCACTTATTGTGGTGGATAGCCAAGCACATTGGGATCTCTGCATCAAAAGTTGACATTTCTTCTACAGATATTATAATTCATCATACATTTTCATAATTAGCCAACATTGGTGAAATTAATTTTACAGGTTACATGTAACATTGAAAGACTTGTTATAGAGGGCCATGATATTTTTCAAAAAAACGTGTTATACTAGATAATTTTTAAATGTAATGTTTATCATTAATATAAAGAATCCTTTTAAAAGTAATTTAACGATTTACATTTCTCCTCTTTTGATTATTTTCTTCTACAGTTTTCTACCCTATAAGTTTTCTATAGGTTGTCATGAGAGATAATTTAGGAATAATTTAGGAGTCCAGTGACTGGAATTGTTTGCAATGAGTTATCAGTATGCATTTAAAAAACATGTCTGTTAGAAAGTTGCTTTGTCTATAAAAAGGATTGCATTCTAGCATGAATAATACTGATCTGGAATGAAGAAGAGTTCGTTTCTACTCCAAACTTGACCAGGAATTTGATGTGGCTGAGAAAGTTTCACTCTTAGTTTTTGTATATTCAGAGCAGTGGTTCTCATAGATCAGTTTTGCTACCCAAATACCAGGGGGCATTTGGCAATACCTAGGAATGTTTTGATTGTCATAGCTTGGCGGGGAGAGAGGGAGGGTTGCTACTGGTATCTAACATAGGAGACAGGGATATTGCTAAATATCCTACAATGCACAGGACAGCCCTCCACAACAGAGAATTATCCAGTCCAAAATGTTAGTAGTGGCAAGGTTGAGAAACACTGATGTAGGAGTGATAAATGTTTCTCTTTTTCATCCAAAGGAATATTTTTAAAAGATGAAACATGATAAGGAACACATTATACAATGGAAGTATTCCAGATAGGTAGCATTCAGTGTTCTGCTAAAGTATTTTTCCCAGTTTATGCATACTAGAAGAAGGGGATAAAAATTCATTAAATTGGCCTGTAAAATAAGGACTGGCATACAAATAATTTGACTCTGAGGTACTGATTCATATTGTCTTTCATATCTCTGTTCTCATCTGTACTGATGAAGGCATAAAATACCTTATGAACCATTGTACAGCCTTTTGGCAAGGCAATAGTTTGTAGCAGGTATGTGTTTGGTCTTCACATATTTTCTGATGTTGAACATGCTGGGTCTAGCTAGAATACATACTCCTTTTTTCTTTACTACACCCTTGCATGCTTCCTACAAAGCACTTACCAAGTGATATCTCTTGAATAATCAGATCTAATTTTGTATGTACATGTTTTAGGGGGAAAAAATTTAAAACAGAACCTGTCACTGAAGTTAGTGTTCTATTAGATTTATGACACTAAAACAAAATTGCTGTGGGAGCCCTGAGGGCTTTATAGTCCTGGACATCAAAAATGTGTTTCAATCTTTTTTTCTCTTATCTTTACTATACAATGGAAATGTTTTAGTAACTGGAAGAACACACAGATATTTAGCAGAAATTCAGTGAGTGAGGAAGAGTCCAAGGGTTTCAGTCATTGTCACTGCTCTTTTCAAAGATTGTGTTGAGCTAGTAGAAGACTAAAGATGTCATTAAAGACATCACAGATATTTATCTTTTGGCTTTGTGTACATTAGAGAATGTTGATTATTTTTATACAAAAATACGGCGGGTAATTTTTTTAATCTTTAGATGCCTCTTGTTTGAATGTATGCTTTGTGGGATTCTTTTGTGTAGTCATGTTTTAAAAAAAAATGTTTACTGATAGTTACGTGTAGGATTAGAATGTGTAATATAGTGTAAGGCTCACGTTCCAGACCTACAATAGCTTATAGTCTATGTTACATATTTCTTTATATCACATTTTAAATTATTGGATTAAAGTTTCAAGGAAAGGTAGGTACTCTGTAGTCAGTTTTCATTGTGACAGTTGTCACACGATTGACTTTTCCCCTGATCTTGCAATTTGAGAACACTAGTATAGGCTAAGCATTAATAGGAGATGGCCCACTGTATGAGGGGCGGGCACAAAAGGAAACCTACCCTGGAGTTAAAACTTTATTGTAGATAATAAACGAGTAATATAAAACTGATCATTTGGAAATAGATTTCCCCTTGCAATAATGATTACCTCCCATAACTATATTATCTATAACCTTTAAGGTATTAACTTTGAACTGTGTTATAGGTTCTCCCTTTATTTACTCCCTTTTCTAATAGCAGTGATTATATACTTACTAAAAGCCCCTGTGCCTAGCACTGTGTTAAGTATCCAAGAAAGCTTACAAGAGGGGTTTCCATTTGAGAGCACCTTATAATCTTAAATCTTATAATAATCTTAAGACTAGTTCAGATCTTCTCTTGTCTCCACTCAAAACATACCGGAAAATATACTTGCTTTTTTCAAGTGAGTTGTTTTATTTAGAAATGGCTGATTTGCTTTTAACTGGTAGTTCTCACCATTGATTCACCTCTCTTTCTGTAGACAATTAACCCATCTTAATTTCAAAGCTTCTGTTATATATAAAGGATATAGACGATAACATTGGGCGTCCACCTCTCTCCTGAGCTTTAAACAGTTTTAGTGTGATATAGGTGGGGAGAAAGCTATTATTTTCATTTTCCTTCATTTCACTATTTGTTTTAGGGTTTTGATTCAGAGGGAATGACAAGCAGAAAGGGGATATGGGAAGTTCTTCTTGCTTTTGCTACCTAAGTTTGCATTTTCTGACTTCTTTAAACTGATATGCACTCTTTTCTTATTGAGAGAAAAAAACCCTACAAGTTTGAAATTTTATTTCCTTTAAGTCATGTGTTCCTAAGAAAGTAAACCAACAGCTGGTTTGTAAAAATTACTTTTTACGTGACATGGATTTTCATCAAGCCTTGTGTAAGGATGTATGTGTCTGACACAGCTGTGCAGCTTGTATAAATTAGTATAGTATGAGACAGACTTCTCTCCCCAAACCTGTCACTTTTTAAGTGGCATTTAACAATTTCCATGATGGTACTTTTAATTTGCTGTGGCATCCTCTAACCAGACATTTTTTTAGTCCCAGTTTAAGGGCTGTCACCTAGAAGTAGAGAAGGTGGAATGAGAGGGAGGAAATGTTAGTGAAGAGACTTGAACGGAGAGAGGTGGGCAAGAGACTTGCCACTTGTTTACCCCGCTTCAACACTGAACAAATTTCTGCACTTTCGAAGTTACTGTTCATGTTTTACCTAGTTTTAAATAGAAATGATTTTTCTTAAGTAGCCCACTTCCTATTTTTGTTTCCTGGTGTGTTGAAACACTTAGAACCGTATGGAATAAGTATTGTGCTCATTCCTTTGAGTAATCTTCATATATCCAGTGTGAAATTATAGTCAGACACTTATTCAAATACCAGTATTAGACTGAAATCTGTTACAGCGCCCCATATCACTGACTTGTTCAATTAAATGTTATAAAGTCCTATTATTTGTATTTGCAGGGTTTTGGTACCACCATGGCATAAGTATGGTAGGGAGGCAATACATACATTACTTAGTCTTAGATTGTATTTACATGTGTATAAACAATTTTGGAGAGAATAAACTATTAGAGATGTATGTGAATGATGCTGTCCTCACAACCATATCGAGCAGATGAAATCCTGACTAGATGCTTCAGACATTTTAAAGATCTATTTTCAGCCAGCCTGGTTCTAACAGCCTGGTTATATTTTGTGGTTTGAAGACCCCTTATCCTTGGTGATTAGCAGGAGCACACCCTGTATATATGCGGCTGGCACTGAGAATTACCTAATAGCATGGAAGGGCCTTAACTAAATCCTTACCTCCCCTAAAGCCTCTGGTCCCAAGAAAACTCCAGGTGAAGACTTTCTTCTTCAAGAGAACTTTGCCTGAAAATGCACAGAAGATTTTGTAATAGGGTTAATTTTAGGGAGGTAACTGGGGCAGGGCTTTCTAATACCTAACAGTCATGTTTTAATGAAACCTTTGGGCAGTGGAAACTGGCCCATCTATGCACAGTGTTTGCTCAGTCTTTCCTGTGCACCATATATGTAGCTAGCTAGGCCTTGAGGAAGGTTTTCCAGCGGGTAGGATAGAGAAGCAGAGGAGACAAACAGGAGGAAAAGCATTCCGAACCCAAGAGGACAGTACAGTTAACTGAGTGAGGTTGTGTGTTATGGATATGGCCTTCAGTAGTTCAAAATAATAAGTTGTAATGGTTGGATCACAGTTATAGCAATAACAAGTTATAGTTTTTATTATGTCAGGATTTACCTGTAATCAAACTCATTCTTTTACTCTCTTTATCAACTAATAGATGAGTTAGTGATTTTTGACTTCTGAAAAAGTGACATTATAATTGGGGAATATCTGTCAGAAACTCAGTGGTTAATCATTATGACTGAGTTATCAGAATTATAGAGAGTCTCTACTTTCAGATACCACAGTTGAATCAACCTTGGAGATTTTTATAAAGAAAAGCATTTTTAAGAGCATATTTTATTTGCTAGGTCGTATGTCAGTCTAAGAATTGGATGACTAAGAGCTATAGGTTTATCTTTATTAACGTGATTTCAGTAAACACAAGTGTACCTCTGTTTCTTTGCTATATATACAGTAGTGTGGATCATGACGTAAACTGTTTAATCCACATTCATCAACATATCTAGAATGTTTGATTTCATCTGAAAGATTGTGATTCAATTTAGATAAGCACAAATACAGTATTAGGAAAAGTAAATATGCAGTCTTACTAAAATTTAATTACAACCTATTAAAAGCTGTACATCTTTAAAAGGATTCTTTGGGAAGATATTTTTCTTTTGCTAGAAGTCAGAAAATGTATCACTATAATTTCCTTCAGAGCAGCAACACAAACCATTTGACTAAAACATGTTAAAAATTATATTACCTTCTTTGGAAAGTTTCCTAAATTTTAAAGAATTCTAAAGTTTTACATATTATTTTCAGAGCTTAATCTATTTTAAAATAATACTATGAGAAAGCTTTTTTTGAAAGTTGTAAAATACTAATACAAATATATTTATCATCATCATATTCCAGAGAAAAACATTTGGCTTTTCCTAACTTTCACCTTAGTACACACATAATTAAAAGGGTGTGACCCCTCCTTTTCAGGTCTGACGCCCAGCTTCCCAAATGAAAGTTCTCCCTTTCTGCTCTAACACATGAACACACGCCTTTTAAGCACCATGTTTACGGAAGCTTTTGGGAAATGTTTTCCATGAATGTTTCATTTTCCCTTTTTCTTTTTTTAAAGTTTATGAACATTTTATTTAAAGATGACAATTTTACTCTGTTAAAGAGGTACACTAGAAAACTATTTTTTTCTACCATCTTTGAAAAGTATAGTTATGCTCAGTGATACTGCTGGCATAAATATGAATCTATAGAAAGAAAACTTGTGCAGAGGTTTTAAAATATATTGTTTAAAAGAGGTATAGTAATGAATGAGTTTTAATTTGTAAAAAAGAAACCGATATAAATTTAAACCAGTTATGCTAAGATGGCATAGTTTCAAATTTAAGAGTACTACAGTAAGTCCTTTAGACCTCCTATTTAAATTGACTCCAGTAATCTGCTTAAGGATTAATAGTAGCCATCAATATTGGCTTAAAAGTTATAGTTTAGGGAACATTATCAGTATTAAATCTGTGCTTTTTTGGAGCTTAATTTGAAGGAGATGGAGAAGTTGGTGTTTCTGAGGGTTGTGGTGAAATATACATCAACCTATTTTAGAAAGAACTTTTCATTGTCAGCCTTGCTTCAAGCAAACCAGAAGCATCCAGTGTTTAAAACCTTTTGTTTAGAATGCTTTGTTAAGTCATAATTCTTTTTGTTTTAGGTAGTACTAAATAGTCTACTCCAATAGTAAATAACAGATGAATATAATCATTAAATTAATATGACAAATAATTGGGGTTTCATATCCAGTTGGTGAATGAGCTGTGTGTGATACTCTACGCAGTTAATTCTTAACCTGTTTCCTCTTCTGAATTTACAGTATGGAGCCTATACTATTCAAAATGTTGATTTTGGTTTAAATCATCTCGGAGGTACCTCCCAGATCTAAAAGTATGATCCTAGGCCACATAATGGGGTGTTTTTAAGTTGTTTATACTTATCATTCCTTTTTTTTTTAATAGTTCATTTCATATTTCAGAGCTTTTGCTAAAAGATACTAATTTTTAAGCATCATTTCCTAGGTCATCAACAGTCTTTGTTCACCTAAGGAATAAGGTAGAAAATTCATATGGACAAGCAAATGAGGACATTTTATTAAATGCTTCTTGCTAGTTAACCACTGGATATATGAACATATATGAGCACTATTATTTATGCATTTATCCATTCATTTAGCAAACCATTTGACCACTTACTATGTGCCGTGTGGTGTACGTGACTTAAGGAACTAGTAATAAGTAAACAAAATCTTCCCAAACAAAATTTTGATTGTAATTTAAACAAATAATGGACATAATTATCATTACTTAATGTACTGAATGTAAAGTTGGAACTGATAGGGAATTTTTTTATGCATTGGGGGAAGGATTAGGCTAGATGACATCTAGGGATCTGAGTGAATCACATCAATTCATATAACATTTCATATATAAACATCAATCAACCTGATTATGTTACAAAATTAAGGGTACCTAACTGACATTAAGGATTTACATTTTGAGACTGTTGGGACAGCCCATATTTCTAAGAATTATTTTGACACTTGAACCTATTCCGGAGGTGTTGCTACATAAGGTGTGTGACAGAACAATATTAAGAAGCTGGTACTGACTTATTATATGTTTTTAACTACAAAAGCTTTATACCCAGTGTTGACAGTGAAGTAATTTTCTAAAACTGAAAAATCTCAAAGGAGATTGCTGAACAGGTTATTTCTTATTTTGTTTTGTTTTTTGTTTTTAAAGCAAGAAAGATTATATAAAATATAGTTATTACAAATATCTACTTTTTAGAAAGCACACATGTTACATGGTAAAAGGAGGGTTTTCTTTAAAATGCAGGAGTGGTAAACAAAATAGTTCCATGTTTAAATTGATAAGTACTTGGGAAATAAACATTGAATGAGGTCGATTATTAACTAGGCAGAGATTCCTTACCACTTGAGGGTTCTGTGAATTACATTGTAATTCCTATTGACACAGCTTTATATATTAACATCGCTTATACTAACATTCTCTATAAAGATAAAAATTGGAAATAACTAATATTAAAAAGACCTTGTATGCATCAGTTTTTTAAACCAGGAAAATGTCTACCTACATGTAAGATTAGAATCTAGAACAAACTGAAAATAGGAACACTAACATCCAAGTAACCAAGCTAGTTTGGGTTTAAAAGTTTTTCTATGGCACTGGTTAAAATTTACTTTCAAAATGTTTTAATTTACTCAATTTTTCATGTATTTTATGTTGTTAAAATATATATTGCATATACTTTTTGTATATGTATTCTTAAAATTTAGAAAGTCAATGGAGTGTGCCAAGATGGTATAATTTTAGATGTCTAATTTAAAAGATGTTTAACCAGCTTCCCAGTCATCTCATTTCAAAAGCTTGATAGGTTCTAAAAACTATCCTCAGAGTAAGGAGTGAGCTTGTGAAGGTCTGCGTTGTAGATGGCAATGTGCAGGATGGGTACAAGACACTGGTGGCAGACGTTTCAGGTTTCTTTTTTGAATTAGTGCTTTTTGTCTTTTTGCTTGTTAAAATTTTGTTGTTGATTTAACAAAGGCAAACTGTTGTGATAAATTTTTTTTTTTATGTTAAGTATTGATGCTTTAAGCACATGTTAACTGATTTTTTTTAAAATTCCTCCTTTTGGTTCCTCCCATTGTTTTAAAAAAGACTTTCAGTTTATCCATCCTGAATGAACAAAGCATCACCAAGGAGAAAAGAAAACATTTTTTTTTCTTTACAGAAAACAAATGTTAAGATTATATATAGTTGTATTCTTTACATTGGATATTGTATTAGAGTCCTCCTTACAGGAAATTAGTTTTAGCTCTTTTAGCATTAGCATTCCTATATTGGTGTCTATAGCTACAGTTTTAAAATGTATAATCTAAAAATGAAGTTAATTTTGCATTATAAGAGCACACCATGATCTATGTAAAAAGATTGTCCATTTGGTGTATTTTTTTAAAAAAGAAAAGGCACTTTCATATTAACAAGTAGCATGTGTATGAATTTTAGATTTTCCTATTTGTTGTGTCTGTATTCAGTGAAGTAAAATTAAGCATTCAAATGTTTGTTGATGGCAACATTAACTGTTAAATTAAAGCACCTTATATTCTGCTGCTTAAACTTGCTTGTAATTGCACCTTTGTTACCTGCACATTTTCACATAGAATATTGTTATAACGTTGCTTCATGTGGGTCTGGATGGAAGGTTAGTGGGCCTACAGGATCATTTATTTATACTGTTTATAATTCAATAATATATTGTAGACCAGCTGTTAAGTTCATTTCTTTACAAATAAAAGCCTCTTCCATTTGGCTGGTCTATTGAATAATTTCTTTTTTTCTTTAAGCTTATGAGGCACGGGGAATACATTTCTAAGTAAACAAACAAAAAGCTTAATGAGGGGTTTGAAAAAGTTATAACTTTTCCTGATTTAAAATCTGCAGAGTATAAATCTTTACTAATTAAGTGCAATATATTTTTAGATAATGATCCCATGTTATTCAATTAGAAAGCAATACATTTAGAGGAAAAGTAACAGAGTAGAGAGAACAAGGTTTAGATACTGCAAAATTAGACAGTGTCTATGTAGTTTAATGCATAAAGTGACTGTTATTTTGCCATTTGGACTGCTTTATTCCAGTAGTTCTCAGCCGGGGGCAATTTCACCTACCAGGGGAGATTTGGCAATGTCTGAAGACATTTTGGTTGTCATGACAGGAGAAGGAAATGCCACCAGCATTCTGCTAAATATCCCACGGACAGCCTCCCAAAATAGTTATCCAACCCAAAATGTCAGTAGTTCTGAGGATAAGAAACCCTACTTTACTTTTACAGTGTGATACATTGTCAATGTAATTATAATTTGACATGCAAGTGACATATAACTTAACTGAAAATGAATCTGGTATGTCATAGAAAGAGACCTAGTCACCACTCTCAATTCTGTGAAGTAAGCAACTGAAATTTTGCAGAAATATTTGCATTAAAAACATTTTTTTGTAAATTAGCTAGGTTTAAATTGAGCTAACTTTCTTCTTATATTAAAGAATATTCATACCATATCATTTTAAGAAAACGATCTTGAATTTCTTGCTTTGAATTTAATAAAAATGTTTAAGTTTGTATCATAGTTGGCAGTCAACCTCAGATTTACATAACAGTTTGCATCCAATAATTTTTTGGGTAACGAACATCAGTATGGTCAAATGTCAACTCGTTTATTTCACTTTTGTATTAAATTAATATTTGTAACATGCAGTTTTTCTGAAGAGGTATAAACATTTTTCTTGGAATTATTTTGTTTAAAAAAAAAAAAAAACCTAAATAATATCGTAGCCCCAAGAGACACATTCTGAAGATTACTAGGGGGAGGAGGCTGCTTTGGTTCAGTTCATTCTTTATAGGTCCTGAGTCATCATTCTTTCCTGTTTGTAAAATGATGATTCTTATTGTAGCTGTAAGTTTTAACTATTTTTACCATGGCAACATATTAACAGATTATTATTGATATAGGCTTTTCAATTTGCTCAAGATTATGAATTGCAAGTGGAATGAAGCAGCATTTCCAGTTGACAAATGGATCCACAGGTAATGCGATGTCTCTTAAATTAAGCTTGTGACAATTAAACCAATAAACTGTAGCAATGAGAAAACTATTGACAAAGTACAACCACGGAATGTTCATCTCAATATATCCTGGAATCTCTACTTTAAGTATAAGGATAATTACTTGAAACAATACAAATGGTAGCCAGGTACCGAGAAAGCAGATAATGAGCTTGGGCAAGAGTGTTTTTTTAGAGTTCACAGTATAACTAGAGTGGGATGAAAAGGGGAAATATAAGATAGTCTCATTCATATAGGAAGTTATCCTAATAGCTTGTACCAAGGTGATAACTTCTGACCAAGAGGTTATAAAAGCCATAAATAAAATCATCACCATGGAAAATGACAGCCAGTAACTTTGAATGCTGATATAGAAAGGACACTGATAAGAATTAACATTCTGTGCATTCAGGTTTTGGGAGATAGACGGATCTCCCAAAACATAAACAAAGACTGAAATCCAAATTAAAATCACTGTAAAGAAATAAAATAATTTTTTACACTTAAATGCAAGCTTGGTGGTTTTAGAGAAATTCAAGTAATAATCGATATAAGCTATCAGGAAAACTGGATAATGCAAAAAGCCATAAGTAAAAGAAATAATTTGAGTAAACAGGCAGATGTGATATTTAGTAAACCTAATGCCTAAAAGTACAAAATCTCTGAAGTAGCATATAATGGAAATGTTGACCAAAAGTAAAAGATCAATGAATGCTAGCGAAATACAAAAATATTCCATAAAATTTTGATAGGTGCTTTTTCTTTTCATTCCTAATGTGAGAATATTTAATAATATTTTTCCAAATATAATTAAGAATAGGAGACAGTTACCATCTAAGGGCTGATTTGTTTGATGTAACTGGTACTGAAAAGAGCAGTTCTCTGAAGAAAGAGCAGTCATATTTTTAGTTAAATTTCAGAAGGCTTGCTGAAGTACATACGATAAAACACTGCTTCGCTTATTTTCCATCCCTGCGAAGAAAAGTAAAAAGAAAACCATGATGTTATCTTGATGCTATCTCTATTTAAAACTTCACAGTGCAAGCACCTGTATTCCCAGAAAGTCTAATTTAATCCAGTCATCTCCCTAAATAAATATGTAAATAGGAATTTATATTTCTCATAATACTTAGAGATTACAGAATATGAGGAAGAATTAATGTGTATACTTTGATCATTTTTTGAGACCCAGAATGTCCAGAACTCTCAGACCTATAACCATAATGTTACATGTAAATTATTAAACTTGTAATAAGTACAGGTTTTAATGACCTGTAAAAAGATAAAATACTTTTATTTACTGGAGCCAAAACACAGACTTAAAATAGCAGCCTGATGGTAACACTCAGAACAGTCACTGATAGCTGCTAACGCAGTCCCACTCTGACTCTAGACAATGTTACCTCACCCCCGCTTTTCGTCTCTTTGTGAATTTTAGAAATAATGCTTATGGGGCCCTCTAGCAATTTTCAAAACTTTTTAGCTGCAGGACCATCATTCAGATTAAATCTCTGAAGCTCAAAGACATAAAACAGATAGCTGAAAATAATGGGAACACTGGTAAAGGAAAGGAAGATAAAGATTTATCTCCTGGGCATGATCTTTCAGGTATGGCACCTGGAGAGAAGAGACAATACAGAGAAGGAATAGGGACTGAGTATGGATACCTGAGAACATTAAGAAGTGCTGGGTAAAGGCAAAGGAATGGGAGTTGAAGCCTGCGTGATAAATGCATTCGGAAGCAGGAAAAAGAAGGTGATGAAAGGTCAGAGAGGAAGAAATCAGGAAAGGATAGAATAAAAGGAAGGAAATTTGAGAAATTTATCCTAAAAAAGAAATCCAAGTTGACCCAAAGTTGTTCAACCACAAGTGTTTATAAAATAAAACAAAGCAATATAAACAGTAACAAACTCATCCACAAATGCCAACTGGAAATGAGTTAAAAATGATACGTGGTACATCCTTATGATATACTATTATGCCATTAAAAGTGTTTCTTGACTTAGAGGAAGACTTATTTTTCACTCCACCTTTTCTATACTTGTTAAATGTTAAACCCTGTGAATTTGTTGCATGTTAAAAAAATATAAATTTCCACAATGTTTAGTTAAGTGAACTGTAGGTTACAAAATTATGCAGGAACATGTCATCTAATTTTTGAGACATACATGTATATAAAAAACTAAAAAGGTATACACATTGACTTAATATGGTACTATTATACTTCTGAGTCTTTCTTAATTTCTCAAACTTTAAGGAAAAAATACGGGAATATCAAGTCTGAAAAGGGAAAAAACTGAATTTGACTAAAAGCACATAACCAATGATTAAATAATTTCAAGAAAATAATGAAAATACTGTCTGAGAATAAAAAAAAGAAATCAGTGTGGGAGAGGGCTATCAGTCCTGTTGACAGACTGAATCCTAACTTGACTAAGTCTTTCTCCTAGTTGAGAAGAGAGTTGAACTTTCGGTGTTTGTCTTTTCATTCTCCAATTTTAGCAAGAATCCTGCTAAGTCAGGTTAGCCAGAACCTCTCATCTTCAATATCTGACCTCCCCTGGTAGCAGATTCCTCATCCCTTGCCCCTGGGCGACATGTGATCACCCTGGCCTGCCTTCAGCAAGAATCCATCTTACCCCTGGCATTTCCTTAGTGATATTCCATCCACTCACCCCCTCCCTACTCCTTTCCTATGAGTTCCCACTTGTATCTGGAATCAAGCCCAATCTCTTTCCATCACTGCTAAACCATACTGTCGTGGTCCCTACACCTTTGCAGTGGTCCTGAATAAAGTCTGTCTTAACATTCTTCAGTCATGACTATTTTTCTTTAACATACTCTCATGGCCATAAATCTACCGTGTCATAAGTTCACTTATTAAGGTACACAAATAATGGGTCTGTTTACACACACGTGTGTGCATATATGCAAAGACAGTTATAAAAAATCATTTAGTACCTATAGTCATAACTATAGGTATAAAAGAACCAATGAAACAAGTTTTCTTGTATGCTCAACTTATTTTCTATACTCAACTATACCACGTAGTTTAACTTGACCCTCTCCTGAAAAAGTTCCATTCCAGATTTGAGATATGATATACAAGGACCATGGACTCGTGATTACAACCTTGACAAATGCCACTGGCCTTAGATGTGTGTTACTTGGATAAGGAGTGCAGATGGAATGATAAGACCACGTGCAGCCCTCCTCTGCCAAGAAAAAAAACAGGCCTAGTTTTAAATAGCAAATGTTGGTTTAGAATGGGAGTAAGGAAGGGAAGTAGTGCGGGCTTATATTTATAAAGACCCATTTAAAAAAAAGTACCTTTGGAGTCATGATTATCTGTATAAAATCACTTCATCCTTAATAATTCCTATTAAAATAAGCTAAGGAATCCACATTTAGGCAACATCTAAGGGATGTTACCCAAGTTTCCATTTCATCACTGAATCCCAGAGTGGGGCCAACTGGAAGGCCAGAAAAGCAGGCTAGTCCCTGGAGAAGGGAAGTAACTCTGAGTGTCTCCTAGGAGCTAAGGAAGGCCATCAAAGGTGCAGGAGGAGGAGGAGGACCAGCTACAGCCACCAAGGCACTAACCAAGAACCTCCTTAGAAGAGGATGTGAAGAAGGAAGACAGGTGTCTGAAATGGAATATGTAAGAGAATCATAAAGCTCGAAGAAGCTTTCAAGATGGGGGGTGAGGAGGGGGAGGATACCCAGGAAAGATGTGCAACTTGAGGCAATAAAAAGCACCTGAAAGGAAGTGTATCAGAAAATGAGGTTTGGGTCGTTTTATAATGGTTCCTGAATCTCATAATCATGGAAATCAATCAATACTTTTTAAGGTGATACCAATTTTATACCCCACTTCTCCTTTAAAACCACTAAAAAATATTCAAAATTCAAACATTTTATTCTTTAAACCAACTCCTAGGATAAGAAAAGTCTTTTGACAGGCAACCTGTCCAGAACTGTCCCTTGAAAAATGTTCACATTAACTCTAGGGATTCAGAGATTGATGAGATACAGTTCTTTTCCTGAATAATTTTTTAAAGAACTTATGAACCAACTCATATTGCTTCCATACAACTTAAAAACTTAAGGTAGAAGTCCTGTCAAGGCATCATTGGGCTTGCTCTGTGACCTGGCCAGTTTAGAAGTATTAGCAGGGCCTGAAGGAAACAAACCATGATTTCTTTTCACTGACCCAGTGTCTGCTTTTCTATTTATAATCCAATTAATTCTTTAAAAAACTAAAACACCAAACAAACCCCACCATACTTACTCTGCTTTCTCCAGTAGGTCTTTCTTGGCCGATAACCTTCCTATTTTACTTCGGTTTTATGGCCTTCAATTATCTTACTTTCTCGGTTCCCTGCATAGCAAAATGCCACATGAATAAACATTGCGAAAGACAGAAAACAAAAATAACCATCACTAACAGCTATCTTAGTAATTGGAGTTCCTTATAACTGGCTCCAGATCTCTGCTTAGAAAAGCTATAACTTTGTGGGATTACAGCCAGTAACTAACTGCTTATAATCTTTCCAGCAAAAGGAAGAAAAGGGACACTTAGATTGAGAGTCCACCAAAGCCCCTGAGATATGGGTGCATGTGATATGGCATCTATTTTAAGAAATCTTGCTCATATTGTAGTTTCACCCATGGGTTTTGGAGTGTAAACTAGCAGTTTTCATCCTGTTTGGTTACAGGACCCTTTGACACATTGCATGTTAGCATAAATCATATTTTTTAAAATGAAAAAGTAAGGTAGCACTGTTGGACATTTCACAAATTGCTTTAGTGTCTGGCTCAATAGCAGACAGCTGAATTCTCATCTATACTTAAGCAGTTGCAATATCACACCACGTAACTTTTGAAAAGTCCTCTGTACATTGATGATTGAGTAAAAAAATCTCTTTTCTAAATAGGTAGTAAACTTAATAACTTCATAGTAATATTATAATCAGTTGTATTATGCATACTCAGAAAAGTTTAACAAAACCACGTGCATGAAACAGTACAATGGGAAGATGAGCACAGCTAACATGGTCTATTGCACAAAAAAACGGAATTAGCTCTAGCTGGATTTGCTGATCCTGATGAGTGGAGAAATCCTATGGGAGAAATTGTGTATTGAACCTTGCCCAGGGCTTTTACATACCTTTCATACATTCCTTACAGTAATCATAAAAGGTATGTATTATTTTTCCCCAGGAGGAAACAGGCTTAATAAGCATACTTCCTGAGATTGCATGACTGATAAGTGTTGGAGCTAAAGTGCAGTCTCGGGTCTGATTTCAAAGCTTGTGTTCTGCAGTGAGTCTCAATGGCTCAGCTCACAACTGGAAATGTAGAAAGGGACCCAATTTATGTATGTGAAAGAGCTTTACAAAAGTGACATTCAAATGACAGTGATTATGTTGATTATTGGAAGTTTCAGCAAGTTTTTTTTTTTTTGCAGAAATTGGCAAGCTGATTCTACAATTTTATATGGAAATGTAAAGGACCTAGCAGAGCCAAAATAATTTTTAAGAAAAAAAGTTGGAGGACTTACACTACCTGACTTTAAGACTTGCTATTAAAGGTACAGAAATAAAGAGAGTGGATATTAACATAAGGAGAGTCCTATAAGTCAACAGAACAGAAGAGAATCCAAAAGTAGACCTAACCATTTATAGTCAATTGATTTTCAACAAAACTGTAAGGAAATTCAGTGGGGAAAAGGACAACCTTTTCTAAAAATGGTACTGGAAAGTGATATCCATATGGGAAGAAATTAACCTTAACCGTTAACCTCACACCAATACAGAAAAATAAACTCAAAGTGGAGGATAAGATTAAATGCAGAAGTGAAACATATTTCTAGGGAAAAAAAAAAAAAAAATCTTTCTGATCCTGCATTAGACATATTAGTTTCCAAGGGCTGCCATAACAATTACCACTGGGTGGCTCAAACAACAGAAATTTATTCTTGCACAGTTCTGGAGGCTAGAAGTCTGAAATCAGGTGTCAGCAGAGTTGTGTTCCCTCTGAAGGCTCTGGAGGAGAATCCTTCCATACCTCTTACAGCTTCTGGTGGCTCCTAGCATTCTTGGCTTGTGACAGCATCACAGCAATCTCTGCCTCCGTTTTTACATTGCCTTCTCCCCTGGTGCATCTCATTGTGTGTCCTCTCCTCTTTTTGCAAGAACACTGGTCAGGGGATTTACATCATACCCTGATCTGGTATGATCATACCTTAATTACATATGCAAAAACCTATTTCCAAATAAGGTGACATTCTGGACGGACATGAACTTTGGGGCACACTAGTCAACCCACAACACCAGGCTTGGCTTTCTTAGGACATGAACTCGTGCAAATACATGAGTTGATAAATTGGACTTTGTTGAAAAAACAAACACCTCTTCGAAAGCATAGTTAAGAAAATGAAAAGGCAAGCTACAAACTGGGAAAAAATATTCACAATAAATATCTGACCAATGACTTGGATCCAGAATATAAAAGAACTCTTACAACTCAATAAAGTAGCCCATTAGAAAATGGGCAAAAGGTTTGAATAGACACATTGGAGAAATGCAAATGAAAACTCCAAGCAGGTACCACTTCACACACACTAGAACAGCTAAAATTAAAAGACTGACGTGTGTTGGCAAAGAAAGAGAACTCAGACGTTGTTTAAATAGTTTGGAGGTTTCTTACAATGTTAAACATCCAATTACCATTTCATCCAGTAATACTACTCGTAGGTATTTACTCAAGAGAAATGAAAACTTACATCCACAAAAAGACCCACAAAAGTTTGTTGCAGCTTTATTTGCCATGGCTTCAAACTGGAAATATTCCATATACTTGACACAAATGAGTACAGATGGTTTGCTTTCACTTATATGGAATTCTACAACAGCAAAACAAACCTATCAGGCTGGACAGACCACCAGTGGAACTCTGGGGCCAAGCGGAGGCAGAGGAGCACCAGGGACTTTTGTAGAGATGAACGTGTTCTATATGTGGATTGAGATGGTAGTTCAACAAATGTATATACATTTTTCAAAATTCAAATTACACTGAAAATGAGTGCATTTTATTACATTTTTAAAGGCTGTACATATCAGTATTGGATATGAAATTAAAAACCTAGAATTAATTTAAATATCCAACAATAGGAAATTGGCTGCATAAATTATGACACAACTTCCACTGAAGATGGTTTTTTGAATAAATGTAATTCTACTCCCTCTCATACCACTAAAACATCAATAAATTGAGTTTGTAACTGATTCTAAAATGAACAAGCAAACCAAATTTGTCACATTTAAGGACACTAGGGAACCAAGTCATTATGTTTTTAAACTGGTAAATACAGGGAAAGAATCAAGCATTTTTCCTGTCTTTTCTATACTAACTGTACTACTTGGTGACAAAAAAAGTGAGAGGATATCTACTTTTTTACAAGTACTCTAATAAGTGAATAAATAATAATGAAATTTGAAAACTGTCATTTTGGGACCCCTTATGTACTTGTGGAAGCAGCCAATGGTCATCAGCAGCTACGAACACCCAAGGGAGAGATGAAGGATGCACCACTACCTATGAAATGGACTTGCTAAAAACTTAGGACCCGATTAGCCTGTAGATTCAACTATTTATGTACAAAAAAAAAAGAGCACAAAAGAACATGTTAACCCCATGGGATGCAGTAAGCAAAATCCAGATGGTGGTAAACTCTACCGGACAGAGAACTTACTTCTTCAAATAAATTATCAACAACAACACAAAAGATTAAATGAGACTAATGATAATAGCAACTAAGTGCAATGTGTAGAACTTATCTGAATTCGTTAGAACAAAGAATTACAACTGGGAATTTGAACATTGATTAGAAATTTGAGGATATCAAGGAATTACTAATTTTTGGCATGATAATAGTATTTTGTTGTGATGGGCAGAATTGTGTTCCCCCAAAAGTCCTATGTTGAAGCCCTAAGTTCTAGTACCTCAGAATATGACTGTATTTGGAGATGGAGCCTTTAAATGAGGTCATATGGGTGGTCCCTAATCCAGTCTGACCAGTAGCCTTATAAGAAGGGGAGACACCAGGGATGGGTGCACACAGAGGAACGGTGATGTGAGGACACAATAAGAAGGTGGCCATCTGTAAGCCAAGGGGAGGTCTCAGGAGAGACAAACCTGTTGAGACCTTGATTTTGGACTTCGAGCTTCCAGAATTATGAGGAAATAGATGTCTGTTAAGCCAGTCTATGGTGTTTGTTATGGCAGCCCGAATACATATGGTTATTTTTAAAAATATTTAAAAACTACATACTGCAATATTTACAGGTGAGATGTTTTCTGGAATTTGCTTTGAAACACAGTATGTGTTTGGTGGGCACTGATGGGAGTGTAAATAGGGCAGGACTGTCTATGAGTTAATGGTTATCCTATTTGTGTATCTGCTTGAAATTTTTTGTAGTTTTTTTTTTTTTAAAGACATGAACTTCCAGGACAAAAGAATGTGAGAGTAGACACCAGGAAAAAAAAATCCAGAGGCTAGAAAAACAATTGGATGAATGGCAAATGACTTAGCATCTTGCTACTCAAAAGTGTGGTCCAAGGAACAGTAGCATAAGCATCATCAAGGAGCTTGTTATGAATACAGTTACAGAATCTCAGGTTCCAACATGGATCCATTGGATCAATTTGCATTTTAATAAAATCCTCAGGTGAATCTCATATACTGATAATAGACAAGAAAGCTAGCAGTGCTGATAAAGCACAGTGCCAACCTAATTTATACCTCAGGACCCTCAAAAGGCTGAGGAACTGTTGGCCCAGATAACTTTGAAAAGGGATGCAAAGATGGGGCAAATGAAACAAACAGGTCCCAGATCCCTTCCCTGACTCAGTGCAACAGGCGACTGTCTCGCCCCAGCTACGGACTAAGAATGGGGGTTTTCTCCTCGGGCAAGTGTAAAACAGGGTCTCTGGACTGTGTGGGAAGAGCTGCAGACAGAGTGGTTCAATGCTGAAAATGGAGTCTGAGTAAAAAAAATATACATATCGAAAGTTGAGACTTCTCTTCCTCACCTGGATTTCAGGAATACCATTATCCAAAACATAAATATCCACAAGTCCTCCTCTAGTGATCAGCCTAGATATAAACAGGTAAAAGTACTGACATTGAGTCTTCCCTACGGACACATTCTAGATAGCACCCTACCCAAAAAATATGACTAGACATCCAAAGATCCTCAGTCAAAGAAAATCTCTACTATGAAAAGTCAAACCCACAAGCAGAAAAATAACTTGGAGGAAAAAGATACCATGCTAGAAGAAAACTTTATTTAGAAATTCATTGTTTTCAGGGAGAAAATATTGCATCCATGGAACAAAAGGAGGAAACTGTTTAAAACAACAGAAAATAAGAAGACACTCTTGGGAAATAAAAATATGATGGCAGACATGATAAACTGAACAGAAGTTAGAAAATAAAGTTCAGGCCATTTCCCAGAAAACACAGAATAGATGGAGAAAAGGATAAGAAAGAGATTCAATCCAGCAGGTGGAAAATCTGAATAATGGGAGTCAGAGAAAGAGAATAAACCGAAGGGGAGCAAACCAAAGAAAAGCATATAATATTCTCTAGAACTAATAACAGTAAGAGTCCATCAGTGGCCACCTTGATAGAGGAAAACAGACCCACACTGAGGCACAGCAAAAATTTCAAAACAATGATAAGAGAAGAGATTACCAATTCTCAAGACGAAAAAACAGATTTTATAGAAAGAATTAAGAGTAAATCAAGGGAAAGAATAAAGGAATTACCCTGCTTTATACAAGAGGTACTACTGGATAACCAAGTAGTAGATGAGGGGAAGTATCTCTTCAAAGAGTGTTCCAATTTCTAAATGAAAAATAAATCTCAGATTTAGCATTCCACCATTTTGTAATTAGCTCTTCTCCCTCAACCTCCTATCCCTGAGTTAAGAGATGTAGACATTAAGCACCTATTGCTATGATCATCACAATGGGAAAGAAACCAGACATTTTGTGCCTCCTAGAGACTAAACCTGAGTCTGATCAAATCTCTGGATCCAGCTGCCAATATGCAAGAAATATGGAGAACACAAAACTGGAGACAATCCAGCTTTCTATCAACAAATGAATGGATAAACAAAACAGTGGTATATCCATACAATGGAACACTCCTCAGCAATGAAAAGGAAGCAACTGTCAGTACATGCAACAACACGGATGAATCTCAAAATAATTATGCTGAGTGAAAGAGGCCAGGCTCAAAAAGAATGCTTTATGATTCTATTTACATAAAATCTTAGAAAATATAAACGCACCTATAGGTGTGTTAGCTATCCTGATGGGGTATTTTCATGGGTGTAGACATGGCAAAAGATATCAAATTCTACACATTAAATATGTGCAGTTTGTTGTATGCCAATTATACTTCAATAAAGCTGTTTTTAAAAAAGTAAAGAGATACAGAGGACAGAGGGACATACTGAGCTGTATTGTATCACGAGTGTGCAATCAGCAAAAGTCATACTGTGGAAAACTCTAAAGGTCCAGCGGTCTAGTTCTTCAACAGAACAAGGGAGAAAAAGGCTTGGAGAAGTCATCTATACAGTGAAAGACATGTAAAAAGACATCTTAAATAATGTTTTAAAGGGTAAAAAGCGGGGAGAGGGGCTGGGGTTTGGAGAGGTCACACGGAAGGGGCTGACAGAGCAGTTTTAGTTCTTTATCGGAGAGATAAGTTACAAGGGTGTTCACCTTATGATAATTCATTAAGCTCTACATGTTTGTGTATGCGTTATGATTCTGTATCTTATTTTTCAATAAAAAGATATTTAAAAAAATCAAGGTTGGAGTCAGGCTCCTACGCAACACTGGAAACCAGAGATACTTTTAACTCCAAGGGACTGACAAGTTCAAATGTAAACGACACTTCCTGGCATAAAAACCACAGGCAAAGTCAAAAGAAAATGACAAACTAGAAAAAAATTACAAAATATTAATCTCCCAAATTTATAAAGAACTCCTGGAAATCAAACAGGAAAAAGATCACAAGCCCAAGTAATAGGAGCAAAGGATCTGAAGGGACACTTCACAAAAAAAGGATAAATGGGTTTAAACATGAAAAGATCAGCATTACTCGTTAAATCAAAATTTTTTTTAAACTCGGAATTTAAACTATACTGTTTGCCCCTTAAGAGAGAGGGCTGTAGATGCTGCCACTGTCAAACGCCTGCTGGCCGAGGAGCTGGGAGGGGAAGACGGGTGTCCAGCACGTTCGGCAGTGTGGCTTCGCTGGCTCCCACTGTCTCCAGGCGTCATCGGCTGCGTGTCACTTAGGATTTCAGTGGCGCCTCTGAAGGTTTTAGTGGTGACGCCTGAAGTCTGGAAAGAGGAGGTGTTCTCAGGCCACAGACCAGTGTTCTGGGCTGGCACAGAGACCTCACATGGGGCCATGGCACCAGCACAGGCGGCAGCTGGCACCTTATTGTCCAGCAGCACGTTGCTGATCTCAGGTGAGGTCCTCCCTCGTGAACGTAAAGCCCACATGCTTGTGGACATGAGGTGACAGTTCCTCTAGAGCTGGGCCGTTTTCCAGGTGCCCCGGGATGGCCTCATGCACCTCAGTGTTCTTGCCCGTCGGCATCACAGCTTTCCCGCAGATGGACATGCAGATCTGCTGCACCTGTCTGGAGCCCACGGTCTGCTCCCACAGTGAAGCAGTTGGGATAATCATCCAAAAGTTGGATGATCCCAAGGAAGTAGTTGGGCTTCCAGGTCTCCATGTCTTCCCTGGGCATCTGGGCGGTACATGAGGGACTGCCATACAGCATTTAAAAACAATGTCACTCTCATGACACATGCCTGGCAAGAGCGACTCTGACATTTTTGAAGACTAGGCTAATTGTCTTGTAGAATATTGCACAATTTGTCCATGTAATTGTTGCTTCAGTATTAGATAAACATTTTTTTCAAGAACACTATCTGGATTATGTGTCCCATTATGTCAGTTTGTCTCAAACTGGTCATGCGAAGTTAGATCACCTAATTAAGGACATGTCTGCCAAATTTTTGTAGTATGGGGTACCTTTTCCCTTTTGTAATCAATAATTAATCCCTAGAGTATAATACCTTGAGACTGTTAGACTATGCTGTTCCAAAACGAAGTTTCATTTAATAGTTTTAACATCCATCCATCATCTTTGCCTGAATCAATTACCATATTGGGAATTATAAAATAGTAACTTTCTAATTCTATGATTCATTCTGCTTTTATGAGCTGGCAATTTTTCCCTGGATTCATGGACTTATTCAATGTGTTATAATCCACTGCCACCCTTATTCTTTTGAATACCTACATTTTTCTAAATGTGTGCTGTCAGAGTTCCTCCAAGCTGGCTCCTGTATCCTCTTGACAAATTCTGGTCTTCAGACACTTGTTTACAGAGCCACCCAGTGACCTGATATACCCATTCAGACTGTTAAGTGAGAGAAATAAACTTGTATTGGATTTGCGCCATTAAATTTTTTGTCAATTTTTACAGCATTTTAGCCATCCTACTTAATACAAAATACTTCTAATTATTCCTTTTCATATCTCTCCCCTCTTGGTATGTTGCAAAATAGTAACTCTCTAATTCTATGATTCATTGCTTCTGTTGCAAAAGTTATCTATTGTAAGCCTTCACTCTTTTACCTGTTCTCAGCCTCATATAAGTATTCTTAACCTGAGCACTGACTTATGAAATGTGGTATTCTGCATGTACTTATATTACAGTTACTGATGGCTCAACTGCATTGTGATTCATCACGGCACTGGGGCTTTTTCTGCCAGGAACAGGCACAGAGCCAATCATTCTCTAATTTGAACTTCCTACTTACAAAATTAATTAGCCTGCATTTGACTTGTCCAATTTCTAAGTACCTAATTTATCCAGCATCTCTGGCACACAAATAAACATACACACAATACATTACTGGTCAGGGATTAAAACTGATTAAATAGTATCCCAGACTATTCTCTGAAAGGTTAACTGAAAAGAGTTGTTCCACACCAGCACCAAATCCTTTATGTCTCTGTATGGTCTTCTCACTATATAACTGTGGTATCATCTGAACTAAACTATGTTTCCCTGAGCCACTGATGATTATATTACACTTAATTAAATCAATGGCATGAGAAAGTCAAGATATATGTACACTACTTCCTCTGGATCCTTACAACATTCTTGAAAAAATTAGGTTACACTGAAATGATTTAGTTTTCCATATAGCTACCATTAATTTTTACCCAATGCCCTAAGTTTGCTTGTAAATTAATATTCTGGTGATGCATATTTCCATATATCCCTCCCTCACAATGTGTCTTCTTATTTACTGCAAACTATACATCTGTATTCACTTCATCATTTTGGTAGGAAAAGATAATACAAGTATCATGTTCAGAATTAAGGAGAAAGGAATCCCCATACTTTGTACTAGTCATTCAGGTTTTGCTACCAAATTTTAAGGAAGATATCAATAAATAGGAATATACCTAAAGAAGCAACAAATATGGGAAAGGGCTTCATAAGACAAACGGTTAAAGGGTCATAAGAATGGGAGTTGTTAAAAAGCAAGCTGTGTTAGTTTAGGAGCTAGTGTTTGTACCACCATCAGAAAGGTCTAAATATGTATGGGATGACTGTTTAGCAAACACGCTTATAAAAGGTTTAGTATTCAAAGGACATTTAAACTAGAGATTGCTTCTGAGCTCTCAATGACTGTCATCAACATTAGTTTTGCACTTAAAGGAAGGGGTTTAAGCATACAATGACCAAGAAAGTACCAATCAGAAATCATGCTCAACAGTTCCTGAGACCTCATTCACAGCCCCAAGCTACTGAACCCAGCTCCCGAGATGACTCAACCACCAGAGAGATGACACTGCTCAAGTTCAGTCGTCTGTGGTTTCCAAAACCATGGCTCTGTTTGTCATTTCTGAGAAAGTGAACCAGGCCACTCACCTGAGGGAGATCTTCTCTCGCCATTACACAATCTGGAACAGGCTACCCAGTCAACCAGGGTCTAGTTCTCCCACAAGTCTTTGACAACAGCATCACAGACCTATACCAGCTTACTCTATTACCATAAACAGTTGCCTGTTTTGTTTCCACTCCCTCCAGAATCAGAAAATATAACATGCCCATCTCTCCACAGACTGATTTTTTTAAAAGCAGCCTAATGGTAGAAGTTTCAGAGATTAAGAGAAATTTGGGGGAGCAGGTATGCTGCTTAGGTCAAATAATTCTACCTAAATACATATGGTGCTTTTTAGTTTATAAAGTGTTTTATGGAGATTTTCTAATTCAAAGTGTCTAAATTAAACTCCTGAAGAGACCTCCATTCCATGAATGATGCCAAGATGTTCAAGTGTTACAACTGAGTAAAATAGTAGTCTTTTCCCTAATTTGAGGTGAGGAGAAAGTGCCAACAAATGAAAAAGAGACATATTTACATACACAGAATGAAGGAAAACAAACTGTAGGATTATCCTGAAAGGTGCAGAAAAAGCTTCTGAGAAAATTAAACACTCATTCGTGATAAAAACTTCTTGGCAAAGTAGAAATTGAGAGAAATTTCCTTAACTGGTAAAGGACCTATGAAAAATCTATAGCTATTATATTTGTGAAAGACATTTTCCTGTGAAAATTGGGAACAAGACAAGGATATCTGCTCTGATCACTTCTATTCAACATTTTAGAATGTCATAGCCAGTTCAGTAATGTAAGAAAAAAGGGCACAGAAATTAGAAAGATAAAGTAAAACTATTGATAGATGATGTTTATATATACAGAATATCTCAAGGCATCTACCAAAAATTTACTGGAATAAGTTAATTTAGTAAGATCGCAGATCAATATTTAAAATTGCATATAAAAATGTAAACAAGATTTGAAAGTGTAAAAACTACCATTTATAATAGACTCAAAAACATAAAATATATAGGAATAAGTCTTTTAAAATGTGTGTAAAACATTAATGCTAAAAGCTATAAAACACTGGTGAGAAAAACGAAGACCTAACAAAGACTAATATTGTTAAGATGTCAGTAGTCCCCAGTTTGAGATTTAATGTAGTCCTAATCAAAATCCAACCAGGCTTTTTTTGTAGAAATTGAGCAGCTCATCCTAAAATCTTTTGTATAGGAAATGCAAAGGGCCAGAATGGTCAAAAAAAGAATGAAGATGGAAGGCTTACACTACCTGATTTCAAGAGTGATAAACTACAGAACTGAAGACAAGTGTGGTACTGGCTTAAGAACAGACAAAAAAACAGAGTAGAGAATTCCAACAGTCCACTTGATTTACAAGAAAGTACCAATTCGAAGGAGGAAAGTCTTTTCAATAAATGGTGCTGGACCAATTGGATAGCAGAATGAAAAAGAACCACCTCAGTCTCGCCTCACACTATACAAACAAATTAGTTCAGGATGGATTGCGGGTCTACAAATAAAAACTAAGACTCTAAAGCTTCCAGAAGGAAAACAAAGGAATATATCTTTGCAAATACAACCTTGGGGTAGGTAAAGAATTCTTAACCAAACACAAAAGCACTAACCATAAAAGAAAAAAAAAATGAATAAAGTGGACTTATTAAAATTAAACTCTTCTCATAAGAAAATGAAAAGGCAAGAAACACACTGGGAGAAAATATTCACATCTATCTAACAAAGGACTTGTGCCCATACTACCAGACAGATAGACAGACAGACAGACAGACTGACTGACTGACTATCTATCTATCTACCTATCTATCTATCTATCTACCTACCTACCTACCTACCTATCTTGCCTACAAATCAATAGTAAAAAGACAGGTAAATCAAAACAAAAATGGTCAAAATACTTGAAAAGATACTTCAAAAGAAAAATGTGCAAATGGTCTCTAGCAAGTGAAAAGGTGCCTAGCATCATCAGCCATCAGGAAAAGGCTAAAACCACACTGACATACAATTTCATATCTATCAGATTAAAATTAAACCGATACCAAATATAAGAAAAGATATAAGAATGTAAAATGATATGACCCTCTGGATAACAGTCTGGCACTTTAATATACACCTATCCTATGATCTAGTACTTCCACTCCTAGGTATTCTACCCAGGAGAGAGAAAAATTTGTGTCCATAAGAGGACTTGTTTGACCACACCAAATGCTGGCAAGGATGTGGAACAGCAGGAACTCACTGCTAGTGGGAATGCAAAACAGTAGAGCCACTTTGGAAGACAATATGGCAGTTTCTTACAAAATTCAACATATTCTTATCATACAATCCAGTAATTGTGCTCCTTGGTGTTTATCCACAGTAGTTGAAAACTTATGTCCACACAAAAATTTGTACGCAAGTATTTATAGCAGCATTATTCATAATTGCCAAAAGTGGGAAGCAACCAAGATGATCTTTGAAAGTGACTGGAAAAACTGTGATTATTCAGCACTTTATAAAAAGAGATCTATCAATCCATGAATAGACATGAAGAAAACTTAAACATATTATTAAGTGAAAGAAGCTGATATGAAAGAGCTATCTATTGGATGATTCCAACTATATGACATTCTGGAAAAGGCAAAACTATGGAGACAGTAAAAAGATCAGTGGTTGCCAGAGGTTAGAAGGGCAAGAGGGATGAATAAGCAGAGCACAGAGAATTTTTAGTATCACTCTGTATAATACTATAATGGTGAATACATGTTATTAGGTCCAATGACCTATGACTATCTAGAACTCTAGATAGTAACTGTGGTGGCTGGCAACCTACCCCAATAATGTTGTGAACTGGTGGGGAAAGGGATGACAGTGGTTGCTAGGGGTTTGAGATTTGGGGAGATGAATAGACAGAACACAGAGAATTTTTAGGGCAGTGAAAATACTCTGTATGATACGATAATGATGGATACATGACATACATTTGTCCAGACCTACAGCATGCACAACAAACAACAAGAGTGAACTGTAATGTAAGCTATGGATCTGGGGTGATTATGATGTTCACCAACTGTAACAAATGTACCACTCTGATGTGGGACGTTGCTAATCGGGGAGGCTATGCATGTGTGGGGCAGGGTATATACAGGAAATTGTACCTTCTGTTTAATTTTGCTGTGAATCTAAAACTTCTCTAAAAGAGAAAAATCTATTTTAAAAAAAGACTTGTACAAAGTTAGGCAAATATTTCTTAGATATGTAATTAAAAGCACAAACTATAAAAAATTGATAACTGAGACTTTGACAATATTAAAATTTTTTTCTTTAAAAGGCAGCATTTAAAAAATAAAAAGATAAGTCATAAGTTAGGAGAAAATATTTACAAATCATATACATGATAAAGAACTTACCTCTAGAATTTAAAAAATATTTGAACATTTTTATTCAAATATTTTTATTTGAATATATAAAAAAATTTTGAAACTCAGTGAGATGACAGCGACAACTAACCCAATTTTAAACACGAGCAAAAGACTAAACTAGACATTTCACCAAAGAAGATATATGAATGACTAATAAGCACATGGAAAGGTGCTCAACATCATTAATCATTTGGAAAATGTAAATTAAAACTGCAGTGTGATACTACAATTTGGTTATAATCAAAATAACTAACAATATTGAGTGTTGGCCAAAATGTGAACAAATCAAATCTCTCATACAGTCATTTCTGGATAACAGTTTAGCAGTTTCTTAAGAAGTTAAAACATAAAGGTATTATATTATCCAGTAATTACACTCCAGACTCAAGAGAAATTAAAATACAGGTCTATACAAATACCTGTATATGAATGTTCAGACACAAAACACCACATATTCTAGGATTCCATTTATAGAAAATATCCAAAAAAGGCAAGAGACAGAAAGCAGATGAATGGCTGCCTGGGCTTAGGGGTGAGGACTGGCATGAGGGAACTTTGGGGGTGATAGAAATATTCTAAAATTAGATTGTGGTGATGGCTGTACAAATCTATAATAATCACAGAACTGTACACTTACGATGAAATGACTTTATGGCACATAAACTACATCGCAATAAATTTTTTTTTAAAGGACTTGTACAAGAATGTTCATAGCAGCTTTATTTAAAATAGGCCGAAACTGGAAGCAATCCAAATGGTCTTCCAAGGAGAATGGATAAATTGTGGTATAATCAAAGAATGAAATATTGGCTATTAATAAAGAACAAGCTACACAACATGCATGAATCTCAAAAACATGTTGACAAAAGAAGACACTTTAGTTGTCCTATTGTATACTATATTCCACTTATAAAAGAGTGTTCTCTTTTTTTCTATTATTGTGTTGTGTTCCATTTATATGAAGTTACGAACAGGCAAAGTTCACTTTTGGTACTAGAAATCAGAACAGCAATTGCCTCTGGGGTAGAGAGATTGACTGCGAAGGGGCACAAGAGAACTTTCTGGAGCATGAAAATGCTTCTGTATTTTGACAGTGATGTTTTTTACATGGGTGTATACATGTATCAAAATGCAACAATTAGGATCTGTGTATTTTACTATATGTACCTCATTAAGTTTTTAAATGATTAAAAATGCCAAAAAAAGACTTACTGCTAGTCAAACTATGAAATCAATCAATCGTATTTATTTTCAGATCCAAAGAAGATATGGTGTGTATCAATTTTGAAATCATAACATGTTGAACAGTTAATGTAAATGACTGGATAATAATTTAATACTCATTTTTAAATGTTTTAATTATGCCATGCGATACATACACGTATGTATATTTAACATATGTATGTTATAAAACAGTCAAACTCATTTATTCTTTGTATATTCATTCACTCATTTACTCCAAAAATACTTATGGAAGACCAAAAATATATTCTAGGCATCCAAGTTCAAACGGTGGCTCAATCACAAATACAATGCTGATATTTCACTTTTATATCAAAATCTGAGTGTACCTTACAGAATGAAGTTTACTTAACAGGAGTTTCCTGGTTTGCTTGTGGGAGGAAAAGTGTTAGATAACAAAACAGACCCAAACATGAAACAAAAACAAATTCGATGCCAGTCAGGTCCAGTAGATTCAGGACTCGTAAGTTAGATCCTGATTTCAAGCCTCTATTAACTGCAGGTCTTTCTGCTCCACCTCCCGCCCTCTCCAGCCACAGGAAGGCAAGGCTAACTTGTGCAAACACTCCTTGAAGGAAGTTGCTGCCTGATCAGCGGCATCTATTACAACTTGGGACTCAAGCCAGGAGCAAGGAAACGCCGCCACCACAGGCAGCCACCTACCTTTCTGGTAACTTCTCCTCCACTCCCCCAGACACTTTTGAGTCTGCTCTAGGCCGGGGCTGGAGGTGTGATGACTAACTAGGCATGGCTGCTGCACCCCAGAAGAGTTTGTCTACAGACCGCACTACCCACTGCTGTGGAGGGTGCAGTGTCCGGGCACCTCCTACACTCCTGTTGCATTTTAAAGAGTGTTTAAAATGTTCATGCCTTTTGACCCAGTACCTCCACTCCAGAGATTTATCATAAGAAAATAATCAGAGTTGAATGAAATAATTACTACATGAGCAGCTCACTTCAGCATACTTAACATACAGAACACTCTCCTGCTCCAAAAGAATCAAAACAACTTAAATGCCTAACAAGAGGGAAGTAATCAAATGAATTACGATAGTCATAGGATAGACTACTATCTGCAGCCATGAAAAAAAAATAAAAGCTTTTCAGAAAAATTAAAGACCTGGAAAATGCTGACATATAATGTTAAACAACAGAAGCAAAATAAAAACTGTATATATCAGGGCTTCTCACAGGAGGACATAATGGAATTCCCCCTGCCTCCCAGAGATTCTGCTGATCCCTGAATCAATGTTACTGAGGGAATGTGCTCTTGTCCTTAGATAGTCTTACTGAATGGGGGATGGGGAGGTTAAAAACCAGTGGTGCAGAATGAGTTGCTCTAAGATGTGCCACTCTGGCATGCAGATTATTTCAGCTGAAAATAATCAAGGCCCAGAAGGCTCAGGAAGAAACTGACCTTCTCCCCTACTGCTTAAAAGAATTCAAAAGACTTACTCCAGGCAGGAAGCTACCATCATGAGATGACTATATTTTAATATGAGCTAGGTGTGACTGACAAGGAGAACCTAGAAAGGCCTATTTGACAAAGTCTCCTCTCTGTGCCATTTTCAAGATGACCCAATACACATTTGTTTACTAAACAATAACTCTTTTCATCTTGCTGTGAATTGCCTTACTTACCCCTAAGTTCTGAATGATATATATACCTCATTTTGCCTTGCTGTCTTTGGAATTTTCATGCTTAAGTGAATTCCCCATATTAAAACTTGATTTTTTTCTGTTAATCTGCTGTATGTCATTTGAATTATCTGACCAGTCAGAAGAACTTTAAGGGAAAAGGGGAAAGAAAAGAAAACTTTTTACTATTTAAAACCTTTGATTCAATAATTATTAAGTAATTATTCTTATAGGAATCTGTCCCAAATAATGTGAACTGGAATCAAAATGTAAAAACACTGTCTCTACTCACACTTCTGACACCAAATGTGTGGGTTTTTCTATACCAATCAATTCTAACACTAACTACCCAGAATTAGTGCAGACCCCACAGGTAGAGGGCTCAGTCCCACAAG